GGTCTTGAATCACAAATGTATGTCAACCTACATTCAACTACGGTGCACCACTTTAAAAAAATATAGAACATAAATTTGATAGGGGGTGCATTATTTTTGTTTAGATAACTTTGGACTAAATAGACATAATTGTCTATCAGCTCCAGATCTTGATCAAAAGTTTGGCACCCAAAAGGGTTATTCATAGGACTGCTTATATCGATTATTTGACATCTAGTTTTCTGTTTAGATAGTTTATGTATTTTATTGGTATGTTTGCAAATGTGTATTAGACTGTGCAACAAACCATGTGACACCCAGTCTAGTATTCCCATGGGATTTGGGAGAGAAATTAACAATGATATTGATTACAAGATAAATAATTTACTTTATTGAAAACATACCAATGCATATTCCCACAGGGACCAGTGACCTTTGTTCACTATTAATCCGCAAGTAAAAACAGTCAACATTTTTTATCAGGTTTTCTCAATTTTTGCATGATATTTTCACACAGGACATCTGTCATTCGAACTAGGGGAACATTCTATACTGTTGAATTAGGTGACCAAGTTTGATAAAGTTTGAAATAGAATTAGTAAAGTTATTGTGCACACATTAACAATTATTAACAATTAATTATTAACGACGACGACGACAACAACAACGGCAGACATTTTTCCTATAATACACCTTTCAGTTTCATCTTTTATTATATGGGCAAGGTAAAAACATAACCTAACCAACATGAATCACTTACTAGTCAGGTAATTCAGACAAAATAGTTAATACAGACACAACTCACAAACTTCCAGTTTCTGGTTCACTACTTTCTATAAGAACACAAAACTGATCGGAAAACAAGGCCACCTTCAGGGTTCCAGCTTAAATGACGCAAATAAAACCCATTTGTAGAATTTTATTAATAAAATAATTGCTGTAATTTTCTCATAAAAGTAATATTAACATCCATTTATGTGTGTGACATTTGACCTCTAGACTCTGCAGTAATGGAAATACCCCATCAACTAGGCTTATGGGAAACTATAATTGACTGAGATAATTAAAATATGGGACATGCTATTGGTGTAATAATATCTACATTTAATTGACGATCATATTGCAGTCTTATTTTGAGCTATCATTAAAGTTGTAAAACGAAAGTGCACTGTTATTGTGTTATGAAAAATGAACACAATATTGTTGTCGTCGTCGAACGAACTGCTGCTTCATTTTGTTTTAACTCTCGTTATTTCTGTAATCTTGTTATAGCTTGATATATCAGTATAATTGTAACTATGATTATTATGGATAAACTACTGTTAAATAAACGATTAACGTTAACTTGTTTAACAAGTTTTGTTGAAATGGACTCGTTTACATTGATTATTGGTTTTCGTTTCCTTCACAGGTCCCTGTCAGCCAAACTATAGCAAGTCCTGGTCCCAGTGTTTATGCTCTAAGATACTGTTTGTGTTGTGCGAGTCATGGCTGATTTGTTTGGCTCTTTGAATGCCATGTTGTTAGAATCTAACAGAACATGTGGTAATTCTTATCCCCCTTTATCATCTCATTGACAGTAATGATACAGTAATCTGATCGTTCAGCTATATCTGGCTTTGTATTGTTACTCTTGACATTGGCCAAAAGCGTAATATTTGTGTAATTAATGACATTGTTCTGCAGGTTCAGTTCACCACTAGTTCGTGGTAAGTTCGTATTGGTGTTGTCACACTGGATGCTGGATGGAATAATACTTTAAGGATGCTATCTTGTTTCTTGGGGTTTCCACACATGTTTCAATCTCTCCAAATAACTGGTAAATCATTCCCTTTTTGATGCTGCATCATGTGTTGGTTCAAACTTTCAGCCGAGAGACAACAAGCAAAGTCTCAATAGTATACCATCTCCTGTTGACACATTCAACAAAACAGGGTCAGGCAGCGCTACACCACTGTGCTAAACTATCTACTGGCCCAGTTGCAACATGGTACCTTCTTAACTTGCAACAATAATTTCAGTTTCTTGATGATAGAACATCAACAAAGCGCCTATGGGAATGACTACCATGATAACACTCAATGTGGTCTGATGTTTGCCAATTTGGATCTAAATTTTCCCTCCCACATACTGAGGCATTGGACTGCCGTCTGTTGTAATCACTTCTTTCTGAAACTGGTCCAAGATGGACTACAAGCCATGTTATGCTTCTATTGTTGAGTGCCAGGACATGAGAGTCCAAGAGAAGCAGCCCAGGAACATGGTTCATGCGACCCAGCACAAACATAACACTTGTTTGCTCTCTCATATGTTTGATAGACAGTGATAGTCAGACTAGGGTATCCCCAGTTAGTTTACTCACGACATAAGACCTCTCTGAGTTAGACAGCTTGAGATGGAAGTACATTGAGGCGGTGTATCTCACTGACCATCATCTCGTTCAGGTCATCATCATCATCATCATCATTCAATCATCACCATCCTTCAAGATCAATAGTCCCCAATCTCGTTTCATCTATCATCTCAAGGTACCATTCTGTCCTCCATACTGCTTTGCTACTACAATCCCATGCTAGCAGCACCATTGCATTGAATGTTGATTTACCAAGGTAGTAGTTTTCTTGATCTCCAGCTGTTCCCCTCTATCCATAACTTTCCTCATATCAGATTGCCATTCTGAATAAACTATATGTATGCGTTTTATTCCACTTGGCTAGTAGTTCCTGAATATCTCAACTTCTGGTTCTGGTGATGCTTCTATCTCTAGTCCAGCTCACACCACTTTGTCCACTTTGCCAGCCTCTAGCATCCCACCTATTCACAAGAGCAGTCTGCTCAAGATGATCTTTTTAATCTCGTCATTAATGTATAAATCCTGATAAATTTGTTTGATGATCCAAACAAATATGAGAAATATTCAGTCTTGTTCACCTATTCATACATTTACTTTGAGCACTGGCCTGGTTATTATGTGATAACAGGACTGCATATGGTACTGATCGACCAATAAAAATATGTCATCTCAATACATACCAGTATACACACCATCAAATTTTCAGATTATGTACCAGTAATGAGAAATTAGCCGCAGAATATGAATTTAAGCAACCTAGGGGGCTTTGTTTGTCCTTGAAGCCCAGTTACATTGTAGTTATGTTTGTCTAAAAAATAAAACCCCTCAGTATGCTCAAAATAAAATGGTAGGAAAAGTTATAATCACATATCACATTTTTCAGCTTAAACAACATCATTTGAAAAAAATGTTATGGTTATTCTCGGAGTGATTTTTTACATATTCGCAGAAAGCAGAATGTCATTCTCATACTGTACTGCATTCATTTCGTAATTAGATGTAGATGAAAACGTTGTTAAATCCATTAGAGGGTTATTTTCCTCCTACATTAATTATTCACAGTAATTTTATAATGTGAACAGAAATTGATAAGAGACAGGGAATAGATATACAGACAACATTGGTTTCATTTCATCTATACCGGCAAATAACCAGCAGGCAGGCAGGCGATGAAAAGGAGAGCTCATACGACCTGTCAACAGCATGCAGCAATCATCGCAATGAAAGAAGCGCAAATGTATTACATAGGAATATATGTAAATGAAAATGGATAAAATGAAATAGGTGAAAAACTGAATGCATAGTACACTCTTCAAGTTTAATAAATCAGTATCAGCCTTGAAGGCAAGGTGTGTCAGAAAAGAGAATAAAATTCACAATCATATTACTAATAATGCAGTATTTACATATGCAGTGTAAGCACCGTCAAAGTCATATTCATGTTAAAATCACATCAAATAGAAAGTTTTAACAATACATGAATATATGGACACACATATTAAATCCTACACACCAAAGTATCTATTCCTATATATATTATATATTCCGAGATGTATTAGTGCAAATACCTGGAAGGCAAGTTGTATCGTATCCTCTGAATTCGCCGGCTGTGAAAGTAATGAACATCCTATAATATATTCGCGGAAATCAATCTTTCCAGATTGATTCTACAAAAAAACAAAAAAAAAAAAATTAATATTGAAAATAATGATGTGGATGCCTCAATAAAAACCAAGATTGAAATCTTTTTAAGTGAATATGATATACATAAATTTAATATGCGTTTCCTCATTATGTGATATTTTATATATTTTAATATGACAGATATTTTTATCATCTAACACCTTGTATGACCTGTGTTCCTGTCATAACTATTGTACTGGTTTCCTGTAATTTCCACTACTTTTAATTTTAAAGCAAATGGACACTAAGATCAAAAGTTTGGACAATTTTTGTAAGAAATACTATAAAATAATTTATTTTAGCTGGAATTAATTTTCGCTGAAAAGAATTTTTGGGTGTTTTCTAAGGAATTTATTTTCACTGATTTTTGACAAGTTGAATGTAAAACATAGGAAAAAAAGGTATATTCGCTGGATTTTATTTTCACTAAATCATTCCTTCACCAAAAATTAATTTCAAGCGAAAATTAAGTATTTTACAGTAATAAGCTTTGTGAAAATCAACATACATGTACATTGTTAGACACTGTTATTATGCTATGAACATTATAATTTTAATTTTTTGAAATTTCTGTGATTTGATGAATCAATGGCATTCCTGAGAACAAAAGTTTGTGAAAATCATTGATGCAACTGCCTTTACAATTCCAGTGAAATTGCTACTTCCACAATATTTTGTGACTCACACACTACCGGTACAATAATTAACCCTTTGAGCACAATTTTTAATTAATCCAATTAAAAATAACCCTTTGAGAACAATTTTTTCTTCTGCTCAAATTTGGGTGAATTTGTTCATAGTTTCTGTAAATTACAGAATTCAATCATGATTTTGAACCAAATAGACCAAATTTGACATTATTTCTAGCTTTTGATCAAAAAAATTGAAAATTTCACACCACTTAATGTGGAAAAGAGCCGACTATAAAGTATTTTGTGGATAGCGCCTGAAGTTTGCCACTCAAAGGGTTAAACTACAGCACATGCACTATGGTGTTTTTAATTATATAACTCTGAGCTGAATTAATTTATTATTATTGATAATTTAATCAATGCATTACTGAACAGTTAAATTCTGGTGATCAGAAATTAGGATATCAAACATTGAATAAATTAAATCTTACCCTGTCGTATAATTCAAACATTTCCTTTAGCGCTGGGCTAACAGGAACGTTGAGATATTTAGCAAAGTCGTCAATATGAATCGTGTTATCATCTGATCTTGCAATTTCCGAGTAGATGGCCAGAAGATCAGTCATATTCTCTAGCGATAAACTGCAAAAAAAAAAAAAAAATAGAGGAAAAAAGAAAACTATAGTGATGAGTAAAAAACAAACAAAAAATAAAAACCTCTAAATAAAAGAAAATCGCAAAATACTGAAATGTCACCATGCAGTCCAAGATATGAACTTTGACCCCCAGACACATGGATGTATTGAAGATATTAATTAATGTGATTGGCAAAGTAAGGGTTTATGCTGACACCAGATTGTGTCAGTTTTTATTTTTGTAAGTGAAATTTACTACAAAGATTGTTTGATTTCTGTCATGTATATTCCCTATATTTATTAGCATATTTGTTTTATATATTGTGTGCCACAAATAATTTTTATTTTTGTTGTTAAACAAGCAGCCTGTCGGCTGAGATAGCTCCGCTGTTAGCAATGCACATTTCAATTAAAGAACAGAAGATATCATTAGAAAATGAGCAAATCTGAAAGAGGTTCACATGTAGTACCTATATGCATAATATATCAAAGCAATTGGACTTGCGGTTTTCAACAAGAAGTCAAAAATATCACTTTTTACCAAAAATTACAAAAATATTCATCAAAATTAGTGAATTAAAGATATCATCATGAAATGAACAAATCTGAGAGAGGTCCACATGTAATACCTATATATGTAATATCAAAGCAATTGGACTTGCGGTTTTCAACAAGAAGTTGAAAATATCACTTTTTACCAAAAATTACAAAAATATTCATCAAAATTAGTGAATTAAAGATATCATCATGAAATGAACAAATCTGAGAGGGGTCTATCCAAGCTACATATACACCAAGTATCAAAGCATTCAGGCTTTTAGTTTTCAAGAAGAAGTCGAAAAAGTAAAACATTGACACGGACGACGACGGACAATCACTCATATGATAAGCTCCGCTCGACAAAGTCGACAGCGGAGCTAAAAAAACAAACAAAAAACTTTGAACCATACTTGGTGAAAAATTAAATTCACTCACACACACACATACACACACGCAGAAGCTCATACAGACAC